TCAGAAAAGCTATATGCCGAAATGGTCCTTCCTCCCAACTGTCCTGCCTGACTGATCCTTACTTGATAGATCATGAAGTAGACTCTGAGTTAATGACGAATCTAGACTAATAATTAGTCGCAATAAATATTAGATTGAAATTTAGCGATAATAATGTTAGGTTTCGTCGAAGGAAAATAGAATCGTTAGAAGCGAAGCGCTGCCCGAGTTTGGAATCATCACTTTGACAAGTGAGGGCATAGTTACTTTCATCTTACACATAGATATGAAGTATTTTATATAAATTACGTGCTATGTATGCATATTATCTGTTTATTTGAGATCTATGTTGGATGAACAATTTTATACATGTTTTAAGTGATTTAAACTGTATATGTATTTTATATCTACGAATATGTTGGGTAAACATGAGTAGATGAATGAGGAGGGATGAAAGAGGATATAAGTAAACATTGGTGACTATAAACTTAGTGCCTAAACCCTGGCGACTATGGACTTAGTGCCTATTGTATAAACCCTGGCGACTATGGATTTAGTGCCTATTGTATAAACCCTGGCGGCTATGGACTTAGTGTCAATTGTATAATCCATGGCGACTATGGACTTAGTGCCTAAACCCTGGCGACTATGGACTTAGTGGCTATTGTATAAACCCTAGCGACTATGGACTTAGTGCCAATTGTATAAACCAGGCGACTATGGACTTAGTTCCTAAACCCTGGCGACTATGGACTTAGTGCGTATTGTATAAACCCTGGCGACTATGGACTTAGTGTCAATTGTATAAACCATGGCGAGTATGGACTTAGTGCCTAAACCCTTGCGACTATGGACTTAGTGCCAATTGTATAAACCATGGCGACTGTGGACTTAGTGCCTAAACCCTGGCGACTATGGACTTAGTGCCTATTGTATAAACCCTGGCGATTATGGACTTAGTGCCTTTTGTATAATCCTTGGCGATGATGGACTTCGTGCCTATTCTTTAGGATAATCCTTAGGAACGAATGAACGAGGAATAGCCGATTCTTAGGGTAGATCCTTAAGAGTAAAGAATATAATGGGGATGGGTAATTGGGTTGATTGTTTGATGTTTAAACATAATAATTATATTATTGTGGGTTGAAAACCCTATGTACTCACCAGGTTTCCCAACCCGACCCACTCAGTTTATTTGTATCACAGGTGTCGATATGAAGTTACATTACACTGAGAAATTAAGGAGATATAAATCACCAGTGATGACAAATGTAAAGTCTGTTTATACTTATGTTTCTGTATTGACGATGACATCCCAATGTTTTAAAATGAATAAAATATATTTCTTCGGAAATGCTTTGATAACGTATTTATCATGTTTTTCTGGGAACAAATTCCGCAACACTTTTCTTTAAAAGGTTACTCTGATTTTCAAAATAAAGCATAAACAAATCGGTCTTTTCTGGCCGTGAAAGTGAGGATGTCACAAAGACTATCTCCATCGAGGGTTATATGCGAGCGGCTCACCGATTATTTAATTTGAAAAAATAAAAAGTAAAAAAAACTGCAGTGATCCACTCACCACAACAACCCAGCTCGTCCATCTAATGACCCATGTTTCTAGCCACGTGCCCATCATAAAAAATGGTGTTACATTAATATTTAAGATCAAAAAATAATTTCATAAATAATCATATATTATTCTAAGCAAAAAATAAAATATATTATATATTAATACATGATTTCTTTTTCTCTACGAAATAAGATCAATATCGATATATAGTTTTTTTACTTTTTTTTATTAAAAATTCGTTTGGGTCGGATTGCTAATGGGTGTAGAAAATTGAATTGGTTTGGGTTGTATAGGTGGAAGAGAGATAAATTATTTTTTTATAGAAAAATTGGATTGTGTTGGGTTGCTAATGGGGGTAGTCTAACCACATTGTTAGTCTCTCCCATCCTTTCCTCAACCATCCAACCCCACTGATGGTGGCAAGCACGAGTTTTTCCGATTAAGAAAGAGGGAGCGATTTCTGAGGTAGAGGTGACCTAATCTTGTGCTTCCATGGAAAATTGAATGCTTGAGGTATTCCTTTTCAATCTTGTTGTCAAATTCAGTGGTATTCCTTTCTGATTAAACGACGAAGTGGGTGGAGGAAGATGGAACATCGATGGGCTGAGGAACTCCATATCCAACATCACAACTTTTCTTCCCCTTCTCGTTATCCCGATTTGATCAAGATTAGGTCAACTCCAAAAGAAAGACTCCCCGTCTTCTCCCTTCTCTTTCCTTCTTTCTATCTAGTCGGACATCAAATTTGAGACCAATTTGTAATTTTTTCTCTCCGGAAAATCATATCTGACACCCATTGCTTAATGTTCAGACTTTGGAGTCATCTGGTTATTTCAAGATAGTATTTCAGAGTCACACCCCCAACAACTACATTTACTTCCTATGTTGTGAGGGATGATAATGAGGAAGAAAATATGGTGGTGGCTGTGGAAACTACGGAGGAAGCTGGAGTGGTAGGATGGTGAGAATGGTGATGATGTAAGGTGAAACGACGATGAACATGAAATGGGGTCGAAGATGGAGAGATAGGGTCTCAACGATTTTTTTTTTCTAAACTCACCAAAACCAAAATCTATGTAATCCGATGTTGCAGTTATGATTCGTTTATTTCTGGAGATTTGTTTTGATTCTTGTGTGGATTTACAAATCTTGAAAATCCAACTTAGTTTGCAGTTTGCTCCTGAGTATGAATTTGAGAGAGAGAGAGAGAGAGAGAGAGATGCATTTTTTTTAATTATAAAAGCATTTAAATAAATAAATATTGAAAAAACAATAACCAATGACAAAATCGTCATTACAAAAAACTATAAAGTAAATTGGACCAAATTGGTAAGAAAATGAAAACCTTTAGACCATGAGTGTTAGTCCAAACCTTTTTAGCCCAAAGTGACAATTTACACCTCCCCACAGGTACCAATCTTACAATTTTGTCTTTATTGAATGTTGGGAAATATGAGAGTGGGGAGGAGAGAGAAAGCCGATACCTACATGGCAAAAGGGTTAGAAGGGTTGGAAAAAATGAATTCTTTCGGCCTTTAGCGAGAAAAAGTAATAATTCAGGTAAGTAGCGAGTCTTTCTAGTTATTATAAATACATCTAAGATTAAGTCGAAAAATTCGTGTATCTCTAACATGCAACTTTTAATTTCAAAAAACTGACTGCCATCATGATCCTAACTTCCTCTTTTGTACAACACTATGTTCTTTAGATTCGTGGCATCGTCATCTTCAACATTTGAAAGATTAATCGATTTGAAATAAAGAATCGTCAAATCTATTCACTAAGATTTCAAATTGCTTCATCATCTTCTAAAAATCTTCCTCATGTGCTCTAATGCACCACGTTAATTCTTAATTTCATCTCATTAAATCTTGAGTTAACGTATCCCTAACATGAAATATAACCCTAAATTAACTAGAAAAATGACATATGGCCTTTTAAATTGTAGGAAATAGTTAAATAACACTTTTAGTCCATCTAGTTTCAAATTTTGGGAATTATATTTTTGATCTTGAAGTTTTTTATTTTTATAAGTTATTACATTTCAGGTCAATATAGTTTTAAGACAAAATTTAATAAATGGTCATGTGGTTTTCAAAAAGTTGAAAGTTCATGATAACTTTCATTTGCCTTGCACCCATGGTACCTCAAGTTACCAAATCAAGCATGGTTGGTCCCTCATATGTTAAATTTAACTTTTTCCTAATTATTTATTTTTAAATGACCAAATTACTCTTCGACCAAAATTGAATTATACAAATACTATAAGAGCCGTTTTTGTAATCTTATTTTATTTCTATTTTTCTATTTTTATTGTTTTAATTTTTTTATAAACTAGACTTTTCTTTTAAGATATCATGTATTATTATATAATTCAGATAAAATTAAAATTATAATAAAAAATAAAAAATATTAAAAGTGAAAAGTGAAATACAAAATTACAAGATTAATGCTCCTTATTATTCTATTTTCTCCACTTTGTTATTTCTTAGTGTGTGAGTTTGTGGTGTTGCGATTGAGATGTGGCAAACAGGAGTTTGTGGTGATACTTCTCTTTCCTCGTATCTCTGTGTGTGTATGTAGGTCCAATCGGTAGGAAGATCGATCAACAGGGCAACATGAGTTAGTTATTGTGAGTTTGTGATGGTGCGGTTGAGATGTGGTAAAGAACGTGGCGTGCGATGATTAGAATAAGGGATGGAGATGGTGGTCCACCTAAAAATCTAAAATTAAATTGTCGGTTGATGATTTGTTGGGTGATTCGGATTAGAATTTTTGGGTAATTTGTTGGCAGGATCTCTGTTAGGAAGATAAACATGATAAATAAAAATAACATAAATCTAACATGTATATAAAGTTAGAAAGGGTAAATTAATCGTTTCACATGCTTAACCAACATCTTTTAATGGACTAACCCAAATGGATCAACCATGCTTGACTTGGAAACTTAAGGGACCACGGATGTAACGCAAACTAAAGTTATCTGAATTTGCTACTTTTTGAAAATCACCCATTTATAAAATTCTGTCTTGTTTTAAATTTCCGAATAACACTTTAGGTTCTTTAACTTGTTAATTGTAAGAATAAAAAATATTTTTTGTACATATAGTTTTTAGTTTTTAGAACTATAATTTTGGTCCCTAAAATTTTTAGTTTGTATAAATTATATTTGTAGTCCTTGCCTCATTACTTCTCACAGAAAAATAATCCCACGAGAAAAAGAATTTTTACGGTACAAAATAATTTTTAACTTTTCACAATTAATTTTAATTTTTAAGAAACAAATGATTTATACTTTTGGTCCCTATTTTTTGCAAATGTTGTGCACTTAATTACGTCTAGGTTTAGATACTTTTTTACAAAACGACTAAATTACATTTTGAATCCCTATTGTTTCTATAATTACTTATTATTTGTTTTATTAATATCTCTTAAATTACACAAATTACATGCCAACTTTTTATATTATTTTATTCTGTGAAAAATATTATTTTAAGATTAATGAAACCGACGACCCGTGTAGGCCATCACTACGTTACGTGTTTATTACAAAGCACTAAGAAATTTCCAACAAGCAAACTCATTTAACCCGTCTAGACTTACCCGGTGCCATGTAACTTTTCCTTTATCCATGCATGCATCATGCATTCTTTATTTCCTCTTCATGTGTGAGCAAATGGCCATAGAGAGACTCAAGTGACATAGTCTTCAAGTTCTTCGTTTGTCTTATCATAAATGTTATAAAGTCCCATGCCGAAGATAGACTTTTGAGAAATTTATTCAGAATTTCATCGTTATCAAAGGTTTTGCGGTGTTGTCTCAGATCATTGATGAGATTGTTAAAACGGACGTATATCTGAGTCAATGATTCATCAGGCTTGCATGTGAACAGCTCGTACTGCTGTATAAGGAGAAACCTACGAGAGTCCAATGTTTCATCAGTACCTTCAAACAGGACGATGAGATTGTCCCACATATCCTTAGCTGACTCACAGTACATGACAAAACGATAAATCTCATCAGGCAGGGACACACTCAGAATATGCATTGCTGTATAATCAAGGCCGACTTTCTTTTTATCTTCATCACTCAATTTGGATCGTTCCTTTAGAGGAATATGCCGACCTTCCTTTATTGTTTCCACCAATTTGCTGTCAACAAAGTTTAGGTAACCAATCATACGGTTCTTCCAAATGGAGAAGTTATCAACACTAGAGAGTCTTGGGGGCTCATTTATTGAGCTATGCTGGTCTTCTGAATTACTTCCGGATGCCATAACCAAATCCTGCAACCCATTAATTACATTGTTCATTAGTAATATCTATATACACACATACACACACACAAAGGAAGTACATGTTATGTATGGATACAAGTTGCATGCAAAACTCGAATCTTGCAACTGTAGAGTGTACGTACAGCCATGTTCTCATAAAATCAAAAGAAACAGTTTCTGTTAGGATGAAAGTTAAACAAAGAATCAAGAATATTATAATGAGAACCTGGGTAGCTACCCAATTTTTTTAAGTCTCACGAATAAAAAGGCAACTATGCAAATGGGAAATAAGAAGGCATGGGACCTAATATAGTTCAATAAAATAAACTCAGAATACAAACACACTTTCGAGCAAATATGTTTCATACCTGTTTAATTAATCATACGGATAATATATGAAATGTGATTAGTTAAATGTTTATAATATTGGAAACCACAAACCAGGAGATGTTTTTGATATATTAGAATTCAATTCCAAGCGAAGATTGAGAAGAAACGCTCAACACGTTAGAGTTTGAGGTATTTTTGGAAAAAGGGAACCTACACTTGCCCTTTTGATCCCAACGTCTTCATGACCTCCAACGTTCTTCGTTTGTCCCTTGGGTTCGACCATGTGATGATTATCCATATGGTAAATCTCAGTCAACGCTTTGGTGAAAGCTTTATCGACACTTGATTTATCGAGAGCCGATGTTTCCATGAATAAGTTAATATTCTCTCTCTCGGCAAATGCCTTTGCATCCTCCCTTTGGACCGATCGCAAGTTAGTTTGATCAGCTTTGTTCCCAAGGAGCACGATCACCATGTTTTGTTCCTTGTGATCCCGAACCTCCTTCAACCATTTTTCCACGTTTTCAAATGTTATTTTGCGTGTGATGTCATAGACGATCAATGCACCTACTGCACCTCGATAGTATGCACTGGTTATGGCCCGATACCTGTAGTACTTCATATAAATAAACAGATATGACACATCATATATGCCATAACAACATCAATGGGATTCTAGCACAGCCTAGGTCAAGGGTTCAATTTTGGTTCGTGAACATACATGAAATTAAGGAATAGTTTGTGAGTATGATTGATTTACCATTCTAAAAGAAATATGGGATACCAACCACCGAATTAATATAATATAATGAAAGTTAGTGCGTGTAAGATATAAGAATTTTAAAGATAAACACGAATATATGTACTTTTCTTGGCCAGCTGTGTCCCAAATTTGGGCTTTGATAACCGTGTCACCAACGTTGATGCTGCTGTTGGCGAATTCAACCCCGATAGTGGCTGAGGATTTGAGGATGAATTCGTTCCTAGAGAATTGTGATAAGAGATTGCTTTTCCCGACACCTGAATCCCCGATTAAAACAAGCTTGAAGAAGTAATCGTGATCATTATACGCCACCATTTCTTTAAAGAGAGATCAAAACTTTGTTCGGGAAGAAAGAGATCCAAGATTGGACGATGATTAGAGTTTAATTTGTTTTAGTTTTCCGATTAAGTTTTCTATCAATCGTGTAATGGTAAGCGTTTCATAAAATCTAAATATAGTTAAGTCTAACAAAATAGAATATCCCAAAACATTTTTGTAAGTTTCGAGCTTGGAATATATGAGGTAGGAAACATTTTAATTAGTAAATTTAGCACAAAATGAACTCTCAAATCCGGACAGGTTTAATATATACGTCTCACGTCCACTAACAAAAATAAAAATGAAAGCTTTTAATAGCCAAAATCCAACCATAACCATTATACGTGTTTAATGCATTTCGGTAGCCATTAAGTATCGGTTAGTATTGTTTATGATTAACGGTTTAGCCGGTTAATGGTTATGCACTACAAGAAATAAAGGCATTACCGGCGACGCCTTTAGCGGCGACGATGACTTTTAGCGGCGACTCAATAATTTGTCGCCGCTAAAAGCCCTTGTTGCCGCTAAAGGCGTCACCGGTAATGCCTTGTCAACCGAATCCGCGTTATCCCCTTCTGGTAAACCCCAACCGTTCGATCGAGTATTGTAACGACCCAAATATCATAAGGTAAAAATTTCATTTTTATTTCAATATATAAACACCTTTTATTCTTATCAATCATTCTAAAACATGTCAAAGTGAAAATAGTTATCAGAGTACACTCCCAAAATCATAAGTGCGGAAACATCGGTGGATGCGCTGCGATCAAGCCGGACTCTACCCTTTCGAACCATAACCATAAAACTGTAAACACAAAGCTTAGTGAGTTCCCCAAATACCTCATACCATACATATCAAACATACAATGGGTCATGCCCCACAACCATTGGCCCTGCCTGGCATCGGGCCTCGCCCGGCATCGAGCCCCGCTCGGAACAGATCTGTTAGTAACATGTGATTGGCCCCGCCCAACACACTCATCAGACACCGCCCGGTATACATACAAACATATACAAGACATGCAAGATTCACAAAGACAATTAGCATACTATAACATAATCAACTGGCCGATATTGGTGCCTTCGACTCGCAAGTACAGTAACAACTATCATACTATAACACACTCATCAGACCCTACCTGGCATCGGGCTCTGCCCGGTATACATATAACACATGCAAGGTCACACAGACAGCTAGCAGACCAATAACCACAAATCATGGGCCGACATTGGTGCCTTCAACCCGCTAAACACTAGGATGAGACTCACCTCAATCCGAGATAACCAGAACACATGTGTTGCTGCTACCGGATTCCTCGGACTGAACATAACCAAAATATCCCTAATTAATAATTTAATACAGTTTCCCAAAATCCAAGGTCCCCAACAATATTCTATACTTCCAATGTATAAAAGACCATTTTACCCTTCTCATATCTGATCCAATAACCCATGGCCCAAACTCCAAAAGACCCAAGGCCCAAAAGAAAAATTCGTGAGAACGCCCCGCGTACGGCCCACTGAAGCACAAGGTACAACTTGTTAAAGCTCAAGGACGAGCACTTCATGCATTACATTGAGCGTACGCATACGTACGTGCAACGTACTTATCAGATGACGAAAACTTCATATTAAGCACTTAATGCTTAACACCAAAACGTACAAACTCAGATCTAACCTCTAAATAAGGTCTTAATCCATAAAGTTGCCAACTTTACTCCTTTACATGACTTAATGGTACCCAAAACCCGTTTTTATCCATCTAAACCCTTAATATGAACATCAACTTAAGCATGATTCATCAAAACCCATCAATATGATATTTTTATGGTTCCTAATAACTCTATAATGGATAAAGTTTCCAACTTTATCCATTAGAATGGTCCAACCAACCAAGATCTAGTCTTTAAGTCTCAAAGGGACCAAAAGTGCATCTTTTCCAACTTAATCCATTAAGTCCAAGTCTCAAGCTTCCAGATCTTAATCAATATGATGTTTAGATGGATAAAGTTTCCAAATTTATCCATAACAAGGTCACAAACTTTCAAGATCTAAACTTTATGCACTAAACTGACCAAAAGCTCATAACACCCAAAACTAGCTAGATCTATTAAATGCATCATCAATATTCAAACTTTATATCTCTAAAAGAAAGATCAAGGTGAACAAAGTTTGGATCTACAAGCTCCAATACAACCAACACTTCACCACTGAGCTCCTTTTTCTCCAAGATGCACCAAGAACACTCCAAAGCACTTAAAAAAACACCTTCTTTTTGCTCACAAGGCTCAAACTAGGGTTATGATTTCAAGGGAGGGTGTTCGAGAGGTGGAGGCTGAGAATGGAATGGGTTTGGGGAAGTTAAGGAGCTTAAATAGGGCTCAAACCACGAAAATAGGGTTTGGGAACTGATCTCGTATGCCCAACGTACTCAATTTACGCCCAGCGTACTAGACTAAGCCCAAAACCTTCCTAACTTCAAATGGTCATAACTTCTTCGTTTCAACTCTAATTCAACGGTATTTATATCCACGAAAAGGTATTGAATAACTCTACAATACTATCTAAATATCTTGGACTAAAAACTTCTCGAACAAAAATCCATATTTTCATGCAAGAACCCGGCCTAATACTTTTCCCATTCTACCCTTCCGCCTAAAACATAAACCGAACTCTTGGATCACATAATCTACATTACCCACATCCAATTGGGTCTAAACCTCTATTTCCCAAAGCCCGAAGACCTATGATACTTGTGTTGGAATTAGTGTCTAAACCCATAACTATAACTGGGATGTACTTGACCCGATTGTAGCATGGTCCTTTTGGGTTGCCTTCATCAGTGCAATTTGATAGGATGGACTTTTGAGAATAAGGTTATTTGTGATTTATTAATATATTATAAGTATAATATATTAATTGAGAAAATCATATTATTTAATTAGTATTGATCAAGAATTAATTTGGAATTAATTTTGTGATCAAAAGAGACTAATTAAATATATGGGGATTGATTATGTAAATCAATGCCTCTTATAGTGTGGGCCAATGATCCATGATTGTTTAGATGGGCTAAACCAATGAGATAATCCATGGATACTCCATGGAGGTTTAAACCCATGGAGCATAAGAATGTGAAAGGTCATGGAGCATTAGGGTTTACATGAATGTATGCTAAGTAACACTATAAAAGCATACCCCTAGTCCCAAAATTGACCACCCCATTCATTCTAAGAGAGTGAAGTTGATTTTATGCTAAGTAACTTATTCTCTCAAGCCTCCTCATATCTGGGGTGTCTGACCTACCCTTCGGTCCTAACAACCGAACTCTACTACTATCACATATAACATATCATGCCAGCATATAACATATCAGGTAGTAGCAAAACTAGATGATATCACAAAGACAATCACCTAACATACAACTCCTACTGGTGGGCCGACATTGTGGTCGTAGACCCACCGCTACTGGAAGGTAACTCACCTCAAACGAGTAGCTGCTGAATATCTGTGCGGGGAATCTCTGATTGTTGCTGCTCCGGAAATTGACCACCCCATTCATTCTAAGAGAGTGAAGTTGATTTTATGCTAAGTAACTTATTCTCTCAAGCCTCCTCTTGCATTTGGTGTTTGTGAACCATTAGAGACATCATACGTGAGGTGCTCAAGCTTTTGAAGGCCAAGAACTACAAGTCCTACTAAGAGGTAAGTTATCTAACTAGTTGTATTGCTCAATTTTTCAATTGTATGCTAATTAGGGATAATGCTTTGGAAAAATTGAAAATGCATGTATAATTAGAGAAAACATAGATCCAAAGCATTTAGGGTTACATGTGCACCATAGGAGTGTTATAGTGCTCAAAACCCAACACCTTGATCTTTTGGTCGCGACCCTGAATTATGAAACGACTCGAATTTGGGTGTTACAACTCTCCCCCACTTAAATTAGATTTCGTCCTCGAAATCGCTCCTTGCTATGTTCCAGGAAATCAAACGATCCGGCCAATTCTTCCAGATCCCTAATAAAATTCGATCCTAACATATGATGGCCTTCCGATAATCGAACCTATCCTTAGCATAACTCACATGTTGACGACGAATCCTTACTCTCGCTAACTTTAACCTATAAAGGATAGCCATCACTGCTCAGCTCAAATCCTAGAATCCAACAGCTTATTCGACTTCCCGACATACAAAACCGTTCTGAAATACTATCAATAGGACCTATCTCTGCAATCCAAACTGAAAATAATCCTTTCGGTCCTAAATCATCTAGCTGACACTCATAGCAGATAGGACCCTAACCATACCTTACTGTTGAAAATATATTTCATATAAACAAAGGTGACTACCAACGCGAGTCCTAATCCCTTGTGCCACCCAGAACATGACTCACATTCCAAAATCCAAAGACTCACACTTGCATCTATCCGAAACCTTATGATTCCACGACAACCTTCCACTAAATCGAGATATAAATTCCCCAATCCACTGCGGAGACTGACCGTCTCACACCTGGTCCCACCACAAGGAACCGACTAAGAGTCTAATTGATAAGGGCTACCCTAGACTAACAACCACACAGATATCAACTACTAACCATAGAGTCATCCTACTCTAAACGTGATCTAATACCTTACTCCAAGCAATTTCCACAGGGTCTTATCCAATCTTACCATAACCATACGGGCCTCGCCCATGGATCTCACCCAGTCTGCACAATCAAACAGGTCTCACCCACGGGTCTCACCCAATCGATTGCTATACATGCATAACCTCACCTCGGTTCCAACAACCTCATACCAACTAAGAGTAATCCTCCGACAGTACTGACCGCCTCGACCCAGACTGATGGGTTTTAGTATACTACAACATCCTATGGTGCACATACAACCCTAAATACCTTGGATCTATGTTTTCACTAATTATACATGCAAATGGTTTCCAAGGTATTAAACCTATAACTAGCATGCAATTTGATATAAACAATACAAGATGCTAGTTAGAATAACATACCTTTTATGTGGCTTGAAGTCTTGATGTATTTGATGTTGCTTGAAACACTTTGGCCTTTAAGAACTTAGTGCCCCAAGTGTTGCACCTTAAATGGAATCACAACTCACCTAGGAC